ATGTTAGGCTTAGTTGGTAACACTCTTGTCTTCGAATCAGTAGGTCTACCCCCTCCTCGCTCCCTCCCTTCCCTCCCCTCACCTGACCATTTCCCCCCAATGCTCGGGTCCTGACCCAACTGTCCAGCGCCTTGGGACGTCCTCCCGACGTGAAAGGCGCTCTATAAGTGGAATCTGTTGTTGTTATGAGCTCAACCCCATGTCTGGGTCTTTGAGTTCATCATCTAGGCTAATGACCCGACAAAGCACTGCAACGGCAGGCGCTGTACTTGCGACGAGATATTAAACTCGGGTCCCATCTACCTGTCCAAGATGGGCATTACAAATTCTAAAAGTGTTCTACTAGGTGTTCTAAAAGAAAAAAATTTCTGCCCAATAATCGCCCAGATAAAAAAAAAATCGTTTTGTCACTTTTAGGGCTGTTTGGGACATTGCTGAAATAGTCCCTAGACAATACAGAAAACTTTGAAGAGCTTGGGAGACGTTTCAATGTGATAAGATTATTATTACACAAGGGAAATAGGATGAACCAAGGAACTAGTGGCATATTGTGTGCCTGATATCAATTTTAAGGAAACTGCTTCAGATCATAAGAATCACAAATCATTGTGGAATATTTAGAAGAAGAATGAAGAGGCAGAGAGAGCCCTCGTCACAGACAATGTTGTTGGTGACTTTCACCAGGGCGGTATCGGTCAGCACTGTAGGTTGGGAATGAAATCAGGTTGAGGAGGAGTGCTACGAAAGGAAAGAACGAAGCGATTTGTTCCAGTATCTTCGGCAGATTGGTGATCGGTCGTAGTTAGGGAACAAGGATGGGTCAGGACGTTTTTTTAAGATGCCAGTATGATTGTGCCAGTATACAAAGGTGAGTAAGTAAAAAAAAAAGGTAAACAGGAAGAATCATGAAGAATCTACTGGTCGGTGAGTTGGTATCTAGAGGGCATAAATTTAAGATAATTACCAAAAAAAGGGAAAGGTTAGGATTTTTTTTTACCCAGAGTTATTTGCCAACATGTACCAAAAATGGTGGTTCCCAAGGAATCATTACTGGCTTTTAAAAGGCAATTAAACAAATATTTATAAAAAGGAAAATATAGAGATTATGGGGAAGGGACGGTACAAAGATAATAACTATCCATTTATAGTCTATTTCTGTGCTGTAAGATTCTATTGATTCAAATTATTTTCCACCCTTTGCGATTGGTGGATTCTTATTTTGTACTATGGAATAGGTGTACACTTATTGATTTAGCATCAAGGTCAGCGTCCAAAGGCAGGGCCAAATTATTTGCGGAGGAATGTCCACAAAAAACTGGCCCGACCTGAAAAACTGATACTTACGTGCAAATAATGGGACAAAATCCCACGCAATGATTAACGTGATTCGGGAGAGCACAGCAGAAGTTCAACTTTTACAGTGAGTAATGATGGAACCGACGTTCAATGGTGGTCTGGCCAAAAGAACATTACCTCAGACGATTGAGATTAGACAATTGTGCTGGATAGTTGGGAGTCAAACACCCACGTATTACGAACACGAAGGGCCAGATGTCCTCCAAATGTGCAATAGATTCACATTGTTTCGTTAAGAAAAAATCTATCCCCCCAGCCCGCTGGAAGCCCCCCTCCCAAAACTCCCTACGCCTTTCAAGCCTTCGGTCACTAACCCCAACCGCACCCGCCCTACCTACCTACCCCACCAGCCCCCGCCCGCCCGGGTCTCGTTCGCCAATTCATGTTAAGCGCTTCCAGATGTTCCCCTCGAGGACGCTTGCCACCGAACAAGTCGTCGTGTAAGGTTTTCCCGCAGCATGCGCTGGTGGAAAAAAAAAATGCCCTGGCTCTTCAGCTCAGTTATTTATTGGGGGGGGGGGGCGGCGGTGGCGGGGTGGGTGGGGGGGAATTAGCCTCGCAAGCGAGAGGACCCGGGTTCGATTCCAAGGCGGTGCCGAAACCTTAGGCAAGTTTCCTTACTCCGCGCACACACACACACACGCACGCGCGCGCCTCTGGGGGGTGGGGGGGGGTTCGGGGGGGTGGGGGGGGGTTACAAAAAAAATAGTGACCATTCGGTGGCTTCAATCCGCGAGACCGTTTTGCGCGCGGGGAGGCCGCGTTGCGCCCGGCGGCCACTGGACTTGTGCGGCGCGCCCTGCGAAGCGCTTCCAGGCGTCTCGACGACGCGGTGGGAGGGGTGGGGTGGTGGGGAGGGGGTGGTGGGGGCGAGGGTGGGCTGGGGGGGCGGTGGGGGGCGCGGGGGTCCAAGGCAAGGGTGGCGATCATCTCATCCCTCTCTCTCCCCTTTGACCCTCGGGCAGCCTCGGATTATTATTATTATTAATAACATCACTGAGCATTGGAGGACTCCCCCCCACACAGACAAACACACCCCTCCCCCCCACCCACAACCCCCCCCCACAGACACCCCCCTCCCCCCTCACACGCCCCCTCCTCTTAGGCTCAACACAGGGGGGGTGGGGGGGTGTTGGGGAGGAATTGGTCGTGAGAGAAGCTTTTTTTTTCGAGAACCTTCTGCCCACCGATCGCCTCCTCGCGCCGGAACCGTTGGTGGTGGTGGTGGGGGGGGCGCGGGGGGTGATGGGATGGGGGGGGGGGGGAGCGGGTCACGTGCCGCCGGGTCAGGTCAGTTCGAGCGCGAAGCGACGTCGTCCGTCCGTCACCGTCAGTGTCAGTCACTCCGTCGAGGCTGTCTCTTCCCCCCCCCCCCCCCCATCTCCCCCCCACTCTCCCCATCTCCCCCCCACTCTCCCCCATCTCCCCCCCACTCTCCCCATCTCCCCCCCCTCCCCCCATCTCCCCCCCACTCTCCTCGCGTTCTCCAGGTGATAAAAGACTCGGTTCGCGTCGTGTTCAAAAGGCTCTTGAAGACCCCCCCCCCCCCCCCCCCCCCGCCATCCACTCCCGCCCGGGGGGAGGAGACGGGGAAACGGAGGTAAGCGCTTCAGTCCCGTAATCTTCTGAAGAGGATCATCATTTTCGACACATTCCTTCAACCCTCTCCCACACAACCCCGCTCCACCCCAGGACCCCCCCCACCACCCCAGGACCCCCGCCCCCCCACACCCCCCCGCTCCACCCCAGGACCCCCCGCTCCACCCCAGGACCCCCCCCACCACCCCCGCTCCCCCCCCCACACAACCCCGCTCCACCCCCACCCCCCCGGACCCACCCCCACACCCCACCCCAGTACCCCCCGCGCCCCCCCCACACCCCAGGACCCCCCCCCCCACCACCCCCCTACACCCCAGAACCCCCTCCCACACCAGGACCCCCACACCCCAGGACCCCCCCTCCCACACCAGGACCCCCACACCCCAGGACCCCCCTCCCACACCAGGACCCCCACACCCCAGGACCCCCCTCCCACACCAGGACCCCCCCCCCACACCAGGACCCCCACACCCCAGGACCCCCCTCCCACACCAGGACCCCCACACCCCAGGACCCCCACACCCCAGGAACCCCCCCCCACACCCCAGGACCCCCCCCCCACACCCCAGGACCCCCTCCACCCCAGGACCCCCCCTCCCACCCCCACACCACTTTATTCCCCCCCCAAAGAAACTCGAGGCACAATAATGAATACATCGCGGCGGCGGCTCAGACACACACTGACACACGCGCCGAGGTCAAGGGCTTTGCTGCTCTGCTCAACCCAGTGACAACAGCAGCGTTGACAATTCCTCTCTCCCCCCCGGGGGGGGTGGGGGTCAAACCCGACACACAACACAACCCCCCCCCCCACACACAACACACACACACACACACACACACACAGGGCAAATGTCATCGTCCCCCAGTTATCATTCACATCAATCTCCCTGGGGGATGATGGGGTGGGGGGGTGGGTTGGGGGGGGGGGCACCTTGTCTTTAAGACGTGTCTAAACGTATCTATAATAATAAGAAACAATTCCGTTTTTTTTTATATGAAAAATAATTAATTTTAATCAAAAAAAATCTCTTCGCATTCTCTTTCTCTCCCCCCCCCCCCCCTCCCCCCCCCCACCTCAAGTCAGTCTGGAAACTGTTAAGAAAACAACACACACACTCACTCACTCACTCACACATCTGTTTCCAATTTGGGTCGAGTTACATGGACTTTTTTGTGTGGGGGGGAGAGAGAACAATGCTGGTTTTTGTTCAATAAGTTTTGCCAGTAGGGGAGGTGGGTGGGGTGGGGGGGTTGCTGCTGGTAATGGTGGGCGGGGGGGTCTTTCTTTTATAACGCCCCCTCCACAACTACAAAAAAAAACATGTTCTTCTGCACGATTTCCTCACCATACAAAATGCTCATCGATTCACGTTGTCAACGTTGAGTTTGCAGTGTTTTTAACAGTGAAATCTTGCCGGGGGGGGGGGTGGGGGGGTAGGAAGGGTTGGGGGTGTGGAGTAGGGGGGGGGGGTTGTGGTGGTGGTGGTAGGAACGGTTGTTGGGGGGTTTTACGAAACGAAAACGATTTTTGTTAAAAAAAAAGCAGCAGCAAAAAAAAACGAAAACCCCGACAATAAATTAATAAATTGCAGAAAAACGGTACAGGTCGAAAAGCCAGAATCGTCCCAAGAAATATATTTCAGGAAATGAACCCCAAATTCCTAATCCTCTTAAACTCGCACATTGCATATCCACCCCCCCCCCCCCCCACACACACACACACACCCACCCACCCACTGGATCCCAGGTACTTATTTATGTATTTATTCATTTATTTCCACGAAGGTTTTTCTTTTAAAAAAAATGTAATTTGATTTAAAGTCCGTTTAATTCATCTCACTCACACACATTCATTAAAACTCCAGACCTTATTCGTTTCGGGATTTTTTTTAAAAAAAACACACACAAAACACACAAAAACATGATATATATACCTATATATATACATATATATATATAAAACAACCCCCCACCACCACCACCACCCAAAAAAAAAGGAGTGAATTGGCATTAAAACTCAAGTGATTTCCAAATCCACTCACCCAACACCAGCACAAAAGTAACGACAAACGACGACCAGTTCATGGTGACTTAAAATTCGACACTAATCCACCACCGACTTCTCTTTTCTTCTTTTTTTTTCCGTGAGGCACTTTTTCTTGGAAGCTGCTGCTCTCCCCCCCCCCCCCCCTCCCCACCACACACACACCCCCCGCCTCCTGGGTTGGTGGGACTGGAATGCCGGGACAGACCTGAACACATCAAAAAACGTTAGCAGAAGAGGAATGCCATTGTGAAATATTTACATCATCCCAACGCCAACATTGGAACATGCCCTCTATTCCACCGACGGTCCAGTCGTGCAGTCGACATGGCCAGACCCAAAGCAAACCAGTCTCGGGATTGCTTTCGCTCGAGTTTTGGTTGAGTTGAGTGACAGGTCTGTGTGACTGATTGCAGTGCTTCTCTCTTTTTTTTTCTCTCCAAGGGAAGCGATGATGATGGTTTGTGTGTGTGTGTGTGTGTGTCAGGAGGGTGGGGGAGTGAGGGTTGGGGGGGGTGACATTACACACATTTTCCTGTCTGGAAATTGTTGAACGCAAGTCTTCGCCACAAGTCTGTTTTAAGTATAGAGTGTCCTTCTCTTTCAAACCGACATCAGGATAAAGTTTGCTGACTTGGAGAGACGTGGATAATTTCTGCTTGCTCAATCCTCACTTCGAAAGGCGACATGAGAATTTCACTTTGTTCGGACATTTTTAGGATTTAATGAGATGACTGCCACGAAAAATTGGCCAAAGGGACAAATCTGCTCATCTTTTCTTTTCGCTTTAAGCCAATCCAAATAAAACTTTGCTGCAAATCCATGTCATTGTCGACTGTAAAGTGTTCATTATTACAGAAGGCTATTTTTTCGCATTTATTGACAATTATCAAGTGTGCAGTTTTCTTCAGGGATGGCTCCAGAGCATCAGTACCGCTTGTGTCACAAACTGTCAAGTGTAGACGAGTTCCACCCTACTGTCTTGCTGAACTCGGACACTTGTACGGAAGATATTAACACTACAGGATTGAGATCCTTCTTAAAAAGACATCACAATTCCAATCTAATTCAGTTCACAGAAAGGAAGGAGCAAGGCTTTGGAGGTGAGGACGAGGATTTTGAACTCTATCCTTTGGGGGATGCGGAGCCAGTGGAGCTGGGCGAGGACGGGGGTGATAGGGCCATGGACCCTGATGCGGGAGAGGACATGAGCTGCAGAGTTCTGAGTGAGGGGAGGGATAGTGGCAGAAGTGGGCAATGTTGCGGAGGTGAGGCCAAGCAGAATGGATCATGGCACGGAAGTGCGGTGTACAGGACAGTCGAGGGTACAAAAGAACACAAGGATTGGCTCGGTGAGCTGGAGAACCGTGAACAGCATCCACGAATGGTGATGCTCTCAGCGCCTGACAAGACAATTCATCAGGACACCAGTGGTCCTGGAGTTAAGGAGATGGAGTTGGGTGTCATCCGCATGCGTGTGGAAGGTAACTCCATACTGGACTGTAGATATCTCTGCCCTCTCCACATCCCCCGATACCGCTGCCTATCAAATATCTATTTGCCTTTTGAAATTTTCAGTTAGTTCGTCTTCCACTGCCCTCTGGTGGAGTGAATACCGCACTTACCACCACCGTGAGAAATGCTACTTCTTGATTTTTATGTTCCAGCCCCATCCTGATAAACACCAACAGTAATAATAATCCTGGCATTTGATAAAGCCCCTTATCGCGTCGTTGAGACGTCTCAAAGCGCTTCACAGAATGCACTGTAGAGTCGATTGGCTGTATATTTTGTGGGCAAAACGTAGCGGCCGATTGCGCACAGCAGAGTGCCACAAACAGTCGTGGGTTGAGTGACCAAATTATGATGTTTTTGATGGGATTTTTACCCCAGAAAATAGATTCACCAACTGGGTAAACAGACCTGTGGAGTACGGAAACTTTCCTAAAGTGTGGAACAAGGAAAGCTGCCTGTATCTATCGTATCCCAGAGCTGCGATCGATTGCGAATCTTCCCACTTGCTGGTGAGTATTAGCCCACAGAGTATTTTATGTTATTTAAACAGCTTAAAAAATGCATTTTACTTTTACAGTTCGGCTCCCGAATTTGTTCCCTATAAATCAGCGTCTCCACTCCAGATTGCTCTGCTGCGAGAAGCAAGATCTGAATCAACAGTTGGTCAAAATTTGGTTCAGTTTGTAACCATCTTTCTTTTCCGGGGACCTGTGCATTGCAGGAAGTACCGTTGCAGGGTCTGGGCATCGGGACCAAGTATCTACCCAGTTTCCTCTGGATAATAATCCCTCCAAAACAAAAAAAAAACGATAATAAATTGCTCATTTTTCAATCTACGAAATCTGGGCTCACTGAGAGGACAGGTCAGTCGGAGTTAGCAGGTCACAGAGGTAGGAAGGAGCGAAGCCACGGAGAGCTTTGAATGCGAGGCTGAGGATTTTGAATCCTATCCTCTGGAGGGGAGGGATGGGGATATAATATTAATAATAATAATACTTGCACTCGATAAAGCGCTTTTCACGTCTTCTCGACATCTCAAAGCGCTTCACAGAATAGACCGTAAAGTGAATTGACCGTACAATTTGTGGGCGAAACGGGGGGGTGGGGTGGGGGAGGATCCAAGGGAAGGACTAAATTGGTTTGGGAAAGTGGTTTGGGTGCAGTTCACGTTTCAACCCCCCCCCCCCCCAGGAATCGTCGTCTTCAAAGCCCCGAAGCGTGTTAAAAGTTTAAACGGTTTGGGATGTTCAACCTGTCCGAGGTGGGTCCGAGCACTGGCGAGCGCGCACCGTGGAGAGAGAGGGAGGGAGAGAGAGAGAGGGGGTGGGGGGTGTGGGCGACGTTGCCGGATCGGGCGTTTTCCAGCCCGTTCGGACGGGTTCGTCCCGCGTCGTGCCGTTCGCGCGGCAATCGGTCCGCCATCGTGGAGTCCTGTAGCTCAGTGGTTAGAGCACTCGCTTTGCAAGCGAGAGACCTGAGTTCAATTCCAGGCAGAGGGCGAAACCTCGGGCAAGTTTCCTTACTCCACACAGAGCCTAATAATATTCCCTCCAAAACCCAAAACAATAATAAATTGGTCATTTTCAATCTACGACTGTTTGTGGGACATTGCTGTGCGCCAATTGGCTGCCGCGTTCGCCCACAAATATACAGTCAATTCACTTTGCAGTGTGTTCTGTGAAGCGCTTTGGGACGTCCTCCCGACGTGAAGAGCGCTATATCAAATATTATTATTATTATTATCGTTGTTTCTTCTCGAAACTTGAAACCCGCGAAAGAAAAAAAAACCAACACATCACACTTTTTTTCTGCCCCCGGTTTCGAAAAGCACCGGTTTCAATCGGCCGCTCCGCGCCGCTCGCCGCCCGTACTCTCTCGGGCTAAAAGTATACGTGAAATAAAAAAAAACACACAGCCTCGGGCTAAAAATATCTATAAAATAAAAAGCGTAGTGTTGGGCTGAAAATAAATGTAACCCCCCCCCCCCCCCCCCACCTCCCCGTATTGGGCTACTTTGGAGGCTCGTATTTAGGCGGCTTTGGGCTATAAACGTACAGTCTTTGAATCTTTCGTGCCCCCCCCCACCACCCCACCGGAGATGGGGGGGAGGGGGGGAGAGAGAGGGGATGGGGGGGGGAGAGGAGATGGGGAGGGAGAGTGGATGAGGAGGAGGAGAGGAAATGTGGGGGGACGAGTGGATGTGGATGTGGGGGGGGGGGAAGAGAGGAAAAGGGGGGGAGAGAGAGAGGAAATTGGGGAGGGGGGAGTGGGTGTGGGGGGGGAGAGGAAATGGGGGGGGAGTGGGTGTGGGGGGGGAGAGGAAATGGGGGGAAAGTGGGGGTGGGGGGAGAGGAAATGGGGGGAAGGGGGAGTGGGTGTGGGGGGGAGAGGAAATGGGGGGAGTGGGTGTGGGGGGGAGAGAGGAAATGGGGGGAGTGGGTGTGGGGGGGAGAGGAAATGGGGGGAGTGGGTGTGGGGGGAGAGAGGAAATGGGGGAGTGGGTGTGGGGGGAGAGGAATGGGGGAGTGGGTGTGGGGGGGAGAGAGGAAATGGGGGGAGTGGGTGTGGGGGGAGAGGAAATGGGGGAGTGGGTGTGGGGGGGAGAGGAAATGGGGGGAGTGGGTGTGGGGGAGAAGGGAGGGGGTGTGGGAGTGGGGGAGAGGAAATGGGGGGGGAGTGGGGGTGGGGGAGAGGAAATGGGGGGAAGGGGGAGTGGGTGGGGGGGGAGAGGAAATGGGGGAGTGGGTGTGGGGGGAGAGAGGAAATGGGGGGAGTGGGTGTGGGGGGAGAGAGGAAATGGGGGAGTGGGTGTGGGGGAGAGAGGAAATGGGGGAGTGGGTGTGGGGGGGAGAGGAAATGGGGGGAGTGGGTGTGGGGGGGAGAGAGGAAATGGGGGGAGTGGGTGTGGGGGGGAGAGGAAATGGGGGGAGTGGGTGTGGGGGGGGAGAGAGGAAATGGGGGGAGTGGGTGTGGGGGGAGAAGGGAGGGGGTGTGGGGAGTGGGGGAGAGAGGAAATGGGGGGGGAGTGGGGGAGGGGCGCGCGTAACGTTCCCGCAGCCCCTGACGCGCGCGGCATCACCACCACCACCGCCGCCGCCATCACCGCCTCCTGAACGTTGGCCTCTCTCTCTCTCTCTCTCTCTGTGTGTGTCGCGCTCTCTCTCTCTCTCTCTCTCTGTCTCTCCGGGTTTCCCCCCCTTCCCCGCGGGGGCGGGCGGGTGGGGGGAGAGAGAGAGAGATGGTGGGACATCGGTCACGAGCGCTCGCGCGGTGTGTGGTGCGTTTCTTTTAAAAAAAAACCGACATTATCATCATTTTAATTTCTCTCTCTCTGAGTGTGTTGTTGTTGTTGTTGTTGTGTGTTGTTGTTGTTGTCTCTCTCTCTCTCTATATATATATATTATTATTATATAGAGAGAGAGAGAGGGAGAGGGAGGGAGGGAGAGGCCATGGCGTTCGCCAACCCCGGGCACCTCATCCCGCAGCTGAAGCTGGAGGACGCGGCCGAGGACAACTTGTTCAAGAACATGTCGCTCCGCTCCCTGCAGCAGGTCCAGCACCCGAGGAGCAAAGCCCCGTCCCCGGCCGGACCCCGACACCCCGGGTAAGGTGGGGGGGGGGCCCACACACCGAGTGTGTAGTGTGTGGGTCTGTGTCTGTGTCTGGGGGGGTTACCGGGAGTGATGTTGTTGTTGTTGTTGTTCGGTGTTTGCCATCGTGTCCCCGGGGTTTTTGGCGTCAAACACAAAAAGCAAAAAAAATGATATATGTGTATATATATATATATATGATATAGATATAACGGCAACCGATGACGACCGGTTTCAATGTCTGTCTCTCTGTCTCTCTCCCTCCACACACCCACACACTCCCACACCCCACACACACACTCCCCCCCCCCCCCCCCCCCCCCCCCCCCCACACACACTCCCACACACACACTCCCCCCCCCACACACACACACACTCCCACACACACTCCCACACCCCACACACACACTCCCCCCCCACACACACACACACTCCCACACACACACTCCCCCCTCCCCACACACACACACACTCCCCCACACACACTCCCCCCCCCACACACACACACTCCCACACACACCCCCCCCCCACACACACTCCCCCCCCCCCCCACACACACTCCCCCCCCACACACCACACACCCCCCCCCCACACACACTCCCCCCCCCCACACACACTCCCACACACACACACACTCCCTCTCTCCCCAACACACTCCCACACACACACACACACTCCCCCCCACACACACACTCCCCTCCCACACACACACACTCCCACACACACACACACACCCCCCCCCCCCCCCCCCGCCCTCCCCACACACACACAATCCCCCCCCTCCCCCACAAACACACACTCCCCCCCCCCACACACACTCCCACACACACACTCCCCCCTCCCCACACACACTCCCCCCCCTCACTCCCCCCCCCAATAACGACAACAACAACAAAAAAGAGACGACTGTTTTATTTATTCATCTGTATATTTATTTATATGTACATATATATGTGCACGTGTGTGTGTGTATTATATATATATTTTTAAAAACAAGTATTGGTGCAGGAACCCCCCCCCCCCCCGGTTTACCCCGTTCCTGACGGTATTTGGTTCGCCAGGTTTTTCGATGCGTTTGGGTTTGTTTAGTGTGTGTGTTTTTTTTTTGGGGGGGGGGTGTGGTTGTGTGTGGGGGGGACACACGAAGAAGAAGGCGCTAAAACCGTCTCGTCTGCTCAGGTTTTTCATTTTAGAAACGGTTTTGATGTGTCAAGTAAGTTCAGGTTGAATTGGTTGGTGAATTGGTCGGTGACGAGAGGGGTGGGGGGGGCGCGTGGGGTTTGGGGGGGGGGTGTTGTGTGTTAGTTTGGTCGGCTTGTCCTCGTCGGTGGCTTTCGTACTCGTGACGATTCGCTTCGGACCGATACGAAACGATGACGGTGCCGTTCGCGTTTATTTTGGCATCTTTCGCGTCTGGGGGGGCGTCTCGTAACTCTTCACGCGTGGGTGGGGGCGAACTGAAGAGGGCGAGGAAGAAAGGTGACCGAGAGCGCTGTCCAAGCGACGAGCCTCGAAGTGATCTAAGAGGGGGAAAGGAGGGGCGAGTTGGAAGTATTTCTGGGATGGGATGCAGATAGCGGGGCAAGGGGATGGCTGACAGCTCACCCATCAGCGGTGGGGCTTATAATAATAATAATAATAATAATCCTTGCATTTGATATAGCGCCTTATCACGTCTTCGAGACGTCTCAAAGCGCTTCACAGGCTATACTGTAAAGTGAATTGCCGGTATGTTTTGCGGCCGTACATGATAACAACAATAACAACAACAACCAGATTACATGTGTATAGCGCCTTTCACGTCGGGAGGACGTCCCAAGGCGCTGGACAGCGTACAGCATTTTAGACCCGAGCTGGGATCAGGGAGGGAGAAGGGAGGGGAGGGGAAAGGGGGGTGACCGATGGCATGGTCGAAGAGGAGGGTTTTGAGGCTATTGTAATATTATAATAGATAAAGTCTTCTATTGCATGCAATTATTATTACATACCTGTGGTATGATGTTGACGGTCTTCAAGTCAGCAGCTGCTGTTATATATTTGCAATTAATGTTCCTGTAATTCGTGATTTACATTATCTGTTGATGCAATGTTTTGTTTTCAGGCTTCCAGTAACCACCGTAGGCAAATTTCTGCATGCTTGCTTCACAGAATTGTACAGCACAGAAGGAGGCCATTTGGCCTGTCATGTGCGTGTGGGCTCTTTGAAAGAGTTACCAACTAGTCCCACTCTCTCGCTGTTACCCCATAGCCCTGCAATATTTTCCTCTTTAAGCCTCTATCCAATTCCCTTCTGAAAGCTGTTATCCACCACCTTTTCAGGTAGCACATTTCAGACGGTAACAAATCTTGCTTTGTTTCGCTATGAATCAAGCTTCTGATAAAAGCAGCACAAAAACACTCAATGGCGTATTTTACAGGGTCCTTCAGAACTCGTTCAAATAGAGCTGTTCTGGAGTCGTTTGAAATTCTTGGTGCATCATTTAGCCTGGAGTGTAATCCTAAGCATCTGCAGGAAGATTGGAACAATTCCTCCTGCATGTAGTAATAATAAGGATAGTTGGATTTGATAGTTGCACCTTTCATGTTTGGAGGATGTCTTGAAATGCTTCAGAAGAAATACTGTAAAGTGGAGTGACTGTACTTTATAGATGAACACAACAGCTAACTTGCCTGCAGCATTGACCTACACAGTAATGAGGTCATTGTTGGTCAGGACACTGGGAAAAACTCTTTGAGTCGTGCCAACAACAACATGCATATGTATATAGCACTTTTCACATCGGGAGGACGTCCCAAGGTGCTGAACAGTGAAGGGTTTACACCCAAGCTGCGGGCTGAAGTCGAGAGGGATGGAGGGCAAGGGGATGGGGGTGGAGGGTAAGGGGACAGTGGTGGGAAGATGACTGAGGCACGGTCTAAGAGGAAGGTCTTGAGATGGGCCTTGGAGGAGGCAAGGGAGGGGGCGAGGCGGAGGGACTCTGGGATTGACAGGAAGGGTGGGAATGTGGATAAGAGAGGAGGTTCGCTCCCAGGGATCCCAACCGGTGAGCTTTGTGGTGGAATGGGGCAATTAGGGTGGCTGCTGTTGGACTGCCAACAGCAGTTGGAGGATTCCTAGGCTGGAACAGAAGGAAGCTGTGGGGCTATCCAAGAGTGGAGGCGGGGGGAGGGTGATGAGAGAGAAGAAGCAAGCAAGAGTAATGGAGGATAAGGGACAGGAGAGGGGCATTTGGGGAAATGGCAGCTTAGGTCAGGGGCAGTAAGCCAAACACGCATCCGAGACGAGGAGCGGGCGATCAGAGCCAGCAGGGTCACGATCAACCTACTAGCATGGGCAGGCCGAGGAGAGCAGCGCAGGGGAGTGAGAGAGCCTAAAGCGAGCGCAGGAAACAGCACATTATACAAACAGCAACAATTTAATTTACGGTTAATTGACTTAGCACCTCCTTCCCACTCTGCACTGAATTCCTACACTCTCCAAATTCAGTGGCAGTGTTTTCTCTGCCAGTATTTTCTATGTTAATTTGGATGAACTGCAAGTATTCAGTGTGCATTATATACCTATGCAAATGTTATGCTAATTTGTTCTTGTTTATTTTCTGTTTCCTGTTAATGAGTCGGCCTGAATCAGCGGTAGGACTGTCGCCTCTGTCGTTGTGTGTGGGTTTAAGCCTCACGTTGGAACTTGGCATGAAATAGTCCAAGCCCTATCTGAGAAACATACACAGGGCACACGAGCAATATTTTTGCGTTTCCTTTCCGGAAACATAACAACGTTCACTGCACGCCTTTTTCACGTCGGAAGGAAGTCTCAAATGCTCGACATTGTCTGCTGGGCACGTGAGCTGGGGTGGGAGCCGAGGGATGGGCAGGTGAAAATATGACTGAAAGTGCGCTCAAAGATCTTGATGAGGGTCTTGACGTGACTTGAAAGAGGAGATGCAGGGAGCGAGTCGGAGGAACTCGGGGATCGAAGCTCCCAGGGAGGCCGCGGTGGGATAGAAATGGTGGTGGGGGGGGGGGAGGTGAAGTATTAAGAGGAGTTTCTCTCTGGGGAAAGAGGGAGTTTTCTGCGAGGAAACTGTACGGCACATCGTTCGGTATCTGTACTCGTTATTTGTAGTCTAATATAAATAATTTGTCACCGTTTCAAGACTGAAGTGTTAAAGACCCACTGCAAATTGTGCTTCAGCTGCCTTTGTGTTTTTAAGGTTGCTATGGACACAACACTCAAATGATTTTATTTAGGGGAGTGGGGGGGAGGTGGGGGTGTGTAAGTGGGATCTCCTTGGAGCAGAACTGCACAATTCCTACAAAAGATTAACCTGTGTAATTGGTATTTGGTTCTTTCTATGAAAAGATTTGCTTTTGCACTTTAACAATACTGTGTTGGTTAAAATAGATTACAAATTATCTCAAGGGGAACCGTCACTGAAACACACTTCTTAGGGTGTAAAAACCTGAAATCTTTATCAGGTGTGTTTATACACAATACGAAAGGGGTATTTTTTTTAAAAAAAGGAGAAAGGCAGTGTACTAAGAATTGCTGAAATCTTTTTCTAGTGAAGATCGTGCTCTAAATTGGAACAATTGCAGCATTGGACAAACAAAGGCCGTTTCGTCAGAAATACCCCCAGCATTGAGTTGAAAGGAAGAATGGAAACCTGGAAGGAGTACATCTTAATCTTTGCCACTGGGTGGAAATCTATGTTGTCAATCATAGCTTTACTCCCATTAATTAGAAAACTGTCACATTAAATAGTATTGCTTGTGTTTGAACTGACAAAATTGGTCGGTGTTCGATGGTAGATATTGTTGCATAGGCAGAATTTGGGATTGTACAGCTCTGAAATGACTGTTAGGTGGCAGTGCTGTCTCCCATCATTTTCAATTTGGGGTTAAAATCATTTGAATTTCAAAGTGAGTATTTTTTAAATTGCAAGTTCTAGCTACTGAAACGATTTAGTAATAATAATCCTTGCATTTGGTATAGCGCCTTATCATGTCTTCAAGAGGTCTCAAAGCTCTTCACAGAATATACTGTAAATATACGGTATACTTTGTGGGCAAATCACCCACAAAATATAGTGCACGAAAACACTACTAAGATTGGGTTGGGAAGTAATTTGAATGACTCGTATTGTGCCAGATTAAAATTTTGGAATAGATTGAGGATTAAGCTTCACTTAAAAGCAATATTTTTTTTTTTAAAAATTGAATGCTGTTTGAAAATGTTCCACTGCCACCAGTCCTGACCTGCAATGAAATATTCATGTCGGATTACAGTTAGTGCAGTTCGGCACTGAGATCTGGTTACAACTTTTTATGTCTGGGATACTTTCCCAGTTAGCACCGAATACATGTTAGCAGCATTGTTTGGTCAGCCTGATGTCTGTACACGCGGAAACCCATTACCATGTTTAAGAGTATCCGAACTATACTTCGACTCCAAAAAAAAATAGGGTTTTAACTCTCAGGATTAAACAGGAGACGGGCGATGAATTTGTTCATCTTATGTTCTTCCAAAACCTGCTGACGAGTCAGGCTGGCTAATCCATCTGGTTTGTACTGCAGGCCTGCCTGGCTCAGGATCCAGACTATCAAGATTACCACAGAAGGTGATTCCATTGCCAAGTGTAGGATTGAACCCTCACTAGGTGGTTGGCATATGCCAGGAATTCCCTTCAGGCTTCTTGGTAAATAGCACAACTCAGCTTGAAATGCGCGAGAACAATGCACTGTTCTCCTCATCAATCCGACTCATCCTTACCCCATTAAGTGATGGTTTCACCCGTTGGAAGTGTGCAGCGTCACTAAAGCACCAATGATACCATTCAAAAACTATTCATCAATAATCGAAATAAAATGACTCTTCAGATAATCAAATAACAACCTGCTTTGAAAAATGTGGCCAAAGAGGAACAAACACAAACAGAATTGATGGTGGCTCAGCTATTCTAATAATGGATTAAATAACTGCTTAATGTCCACTGCCATTAATTCAACTAAGCATTGTTTTTTTAGATTGCTCCGATTCAAACCGTGTATGTTCTTATAGCTATATATTAGCATAACCTGGACTACACTCGGTTATGCTTCACCAGTACCCTAACATTTTTAGGGTTTCCTAAACATCGGCTCTTGCCAACCTGTCTTAATACTCTCTGGAATTAGATAATCGGGGTATGTCCCCTAGGAAGAGAGAAAAACTTTCCGGGCACAGGAAAAACTTCATTTATAGACTTTTGTATGTGAACTCTGTTTGCTTTGAATACTCTTAAGCATGATGCATGTTTCAGACACTTGTCTACCTGAAACAAATCTTCAAAATACATGAAATGCAAAGTGTGCTAACGTCCCTAATAGATGTATGAAAAAATGTAAGCTTTATATTTCAGCTTGATGGTTCATATTTCAAAATGAACACGGTTCTGCATGCAGCTTTACATATTTTACTGCATATGAAAAATGTTTGCATAAATGTTTGGTTAAACGTGATGCAGCAAATGCGATATCATATTTTAATTAGTATTGGATGCATTTGTTTTTCGTACATTTTTGTTTCTTTTCCAATAAAAGGTAATTTACCCTTTCGTCGTCTCTTTTCTTGACTATAATGCATTCATTATCAGTCATAGTTTTGTACTTGTGCCAAAACTTGGTAGTATAAGTTATGACGTTGGCAGCTAAAGCAAAAACACTCCCGCAAAATTTATGGAATCCTCCATATACTGCCTTCTCAATGAGCATATTGATAGTTAGATGAATTAAAAATATATCTACATTGTACATTATTCATCTTAAACAAATTGTTGTGGACTGTTTGTTCAGAAGGCTTCATTCCGAGCATTTTAAACAAAGTCCTTTTAGATGTTTCACACCATACAGTGTGCCAGTGATCTGAACTTGGCTCGTGTAATAAAAGTGCAGGATCCAGCAATGTCAGCAATCACAGATCCATGCAATGATTTTAAAGGTTTTTTGTGAGCTCCAACTACTATACTGCGGGTTCGGTTGTAATGTGGACACACTCTGAACTTGTGCCAACATGTGATACTCTTCCTGCTTCTTGTGCTGACTGGGTAGCTCCCTCTATTTGGGAAACCAGCAAATTTAACAACCATGCAGTAAGTTTGTGAATACGGGTTATACAGATAAGCCTTCCCCCCCGACTTCCCACCGGGAATGGGACGCTTCACTCGTCGGTTGATAAATCCTAAAACGTTTTCAATGTTTTAAAAACTTTTGAAACGAAAGCCATGCCGCGTTACTCTTCAACTAAGATTATTTACGAAATCATTCTTTAGTTGTGAAAACAAAACACAGATATCCTTTGAAAGTCAGTAAATGCCTAGTTTTATTAGAAACAGCTCAAAGCATTACATTCATCTGGTAAAACTAGGCAAAATACTGTTGTGGTATTACAATAATCTAAATAACTCTTGTTAGTTTAGTAGTACTCCTAGGATTCCCCGGTGTATTCCTTGCTACACTCTCAATTTTTGCTGCACCGTGATTCTATTAGGCGCAGTTTATTCATAAACATGTCAGTGCCATCTGCTCTTATTTGGTTTCAATATTGTTCGTTTGGGATTTTTTTTGTTAATATTGGCAACGGGAACTGAAGCTGTTCATCTAATTGATGCGATAGAACAACAGGTACAGCGGGTGAACTGGAGACGCTTCAAAAATGGAGCTGCTGTGACCTCTGAATTCAGATGAGTTACCAACAGCATTTTAATCTCTGAAATACATTTCCTGCAATAAGGAGAGTGAGCTGTTCAGTAAAACTACAGGAGTAAAGAAGGGTCGGATCGTAGAGCTTTAATCGACAAATGAAACGCAAGTGTAAGATGAGCGCTCTCAAAACTTCATTGTCGTGCGATCGTTCATTGTGTCACCGGTTCTTTTTCCACAGTCTTTTTTTTTTTCTTTTATGTTCTGTATTTGTGTCGTGCTGCACTTTTTATTTACTGTGGTTGCCCTGCCTTCCTCTATCTCTTTCTCTCTCTGCACCCTTTCTTCTCCTCCCACTTACATCATAGAAATTGATTTCAAAGCAGCTTTATCAAACGTTCCCTTGTTGCTTGACAGCACGCATCAGACTCTTCCCGAAGACATTGCGCCGAGAAGAAAAAGACCACATCACCCTTCTCGTATAATTCTCAGAACCTGTGAAAGGCATAATTGACAAAAGATAAGGTGTTGTACTTCGAGATTTTGCATACTGATGTTAAAGCGCAAACTTTTAAGCCGCGAATGTCTAAACGTATTCCCCGCAGGAGTCTTTGATCAGAGAAATACTGGGGTATTTGCGGTAATTCTTCCACTTTATTGAACGTTCAAGGCCAGGCTTACTCAACGCCAGTAATCCTGGTGCTCATGTCAGAGTTTTTGACAAATAGACTGTGTAAATCCAACTCTGTCTCCAGGTGCCACCCCCCCCCCCTCCTTGCAGTCGCTTCCCAGGTTTTGCCACGTTGAACATCTCATCTCAATGTCCGAGCTACTCCAAGGTCCGAGTAGCAGCGAGATTAACCTGATATTAAACCCAGCAGAACGCACGGGTTGTTTGCACAAATCAGGAAATTTATCATTTGCTTTGAAATGAATGACTGATGCTGATTTTTTTGATCTTCACCGGTAGCCGGGTATTCCAAACCAATCTACATTTAATTAATTAGGTGTTGCAATTTTGACAATGACTTGTTTCGTGATATTTAGACTCGGGTTAACATATTCACATTATTTGGCACGGTGGGATGTTGGTTCGGGTTAGTTCTGTGATACAGATTTACATTTGCATAGCTGCGGGTGGGAGCCGAGGAGGGCGGGGAGGGTAAAGATGACCAACAGAGGTAGGTCTGGAGATGGACCTTGAACAAAGTGAGGGAGGGAGCGACGTAGTGGGAAAGAGTTCCAGAGAGTGGTGGCGCATAGGCTGAAAGTCCAACCACCGATGGCAGATTGACAGCACAGGGGACATGAATGGGGCTGGTGCTGAGCGAAGGTTTGCAGAGACAGGGAGCCTTGTATTCGAGTGAAACGTTTTAAATATATATATTCAATGGTTCTGTATATTTCCTCGTCTGGACCTTCTGGCAGTCGGGAGCTGTTCTTTCAGCACCGACTGAAATATGGTTTATTTAATGTTTATTCACTGACAAATTGTTTTCTCTGAAGTCTTATGAGTTTGATTCAGCAGGCTGATCTTTTTGGAACGATGCATTCAAATGTTATTAAAAACAACTGCATGCCAGTGGTTACGCATTTCAGTGATCAGAAATAACCTTCAGCAGTGTTAAGTTTATTTTCATATGCTTTACATGTTCTGGAGTACATTTTACTCTTGATTTAGATGGATTGTTCTAGCTGACAAGTGACATACCATTTTCGTGATTCATCGTTTACCTTGGTTTAATTTAACGCACCTTAAATTAATAAATTTAGGGTCAATTGAAGTCCGTGGGATTAAAGGAACAGTGGCAGCATGGATATGAAATTGGATGGAGACGGAGAGCAGAGAGTAGTGGTGAATGGTTATTTTGTCAGACTGGATTTAAGTTATACGGTGGTTTTCCCCGGAGTTAGTATCAGGACCACTACTCTTTTTGATAATATAACAATTTTTAAGTTTGCAGATGACACAAAACTTAAAAACATGTTAAATAGTGAGGAGGACAGGAGTAGATTGCAGAAGGACATAGACTGACTGGTGAAATGGGCAGATAAAATTTAATGCAGAGAAGTGTGAAGTGATGCATTTCGGAAGAAGAAGAATGAGGAGAGTCAATATAAACGATACGGTACAATTTTAAAGAGGGTGCAGGAACAGAGAGACTTGGAGGTTCACAGTCACACATCTTTGAAGGTGGCAGGATAAGTTGATAAAGCTGGTTTTTTTTTAAAAAAAAGAAGCGTATGGGATCCTTGGAAAGGCAGGAGTAAAGTTGGGTGGAAACTACATGCTCCAGGACTTAAGAAAGTAGGGTCAGGTTTGAGATAAGCAGGAAGTGAGTGAAGTTTCACAAATCAAGGGTGTCTTTTTAGGAGGAAGTGACGATGACAGCAGTTTTGAAGGGGAATGGGTTTGCATTGAGTACTGCTGAAGTTCAACCAACTAAAACCACGTAGCTTGCCATTGAGAGCACTGTTTGGCAAGCTTCCCCATTAGGGCTTTGGCTTGGAGGGGCCCAGGCAGAAGGTTCCCCACTCCCTGGGTCCTGCCGACAAGCCACACTGACTGATCTGTTACCAGCAGTGCCTTGGAGTACTGTGGAGCCTCCTGGCTCAGGTACTGAGACCACCGCAGAGGTACGACTCAATTCCGCTATTCCATTGCCAAGCACGTAACCTTGGAGCAGGTCCATATAATCATAATGAATAGGTTCAACTGCAAGAATTAAGATAGAACAGGCTGACAAAGAGACGTGCACAGGAGCCTGGCTTCTTTATTTCAGACAGGTCTTGTGATGCGGTGTTTTTCTTCATTATGAAATAGCTACTCACACAAGTAAAACTTGGCAGGGACCATCCCCAGCTTTTGTTTTGTTCCCCGATTCAAGAGCCTGATGAGTTATATTGTACAGTTCTCAGAAGTGAATGCCATTGGAGGAAACTGCCAAGCCTGCTTCTCGACAGCTTCTCGACAGCTTTTATAAACATCTCAACATTCTGAGAGCATCACCTTATTTATTAATGTTCTCCGGCTAGAAAACTCAAGAGAATCCATTTGTTCATAGCAGTGTAGCACAACTTGTATTTATGTAGAACGCCTTTCAGAGCACTTCAAAATGATGTCCCGCCAATGGGGAGCAAGGGGGTCAGCAAAGGTGACCAACTTAACACTGCAGTTCTCCTTAGACACATACCAGGATGCTCACCCACGATAAAGAAAGTGAACCCTGATAGCATGCATTCTTCTTCAGGTGAGAATGGGATCATGCTTGACATGACTTGAACCCCTCATCCCTGATATTATCCGAGTGAATCTCCTGTACCCTCTCCGTGGTTGCAACGTTCTTTGTAACCCACGAGTCCACAAACTCGGTCCTCTCCTACAAGCCTATCAACTCCCATCACCCGTACGCTCACCTGGCTCCACTGGCTCCCCGCCCCCAAAGGATTGGGTTCACTTTTAAATCCCTCCACAGACTTCCACTACTGTACCTCTGTGACCTAAAACCATAGAAACAGGAGGAGGCGATTCAGCTCCTCGAGCCTGTTGCGCCCTTCTATACGATCATGGACTGATCTGTGCCTCAAGTCCAGTTACCCACCCTTGCCTCATATCCATTAATACCCTGACCTAACCCTACCAACCCGCCAGCTCCCCTCTGTTCGGCAGGCACTGGCCTGCCTCACATCCCCTCAGTGGCGTGAAACCCCCCCCCCCCCCAGGGACCCTGGTGCAAGAATAGATTTTGTAATCTAGCGTTTGGCTTACCTGTACACATCACTTGATCAGCAGCATTATAACATGAAATACGGTAAGCCATTGGAGGAGCCTCCGAACTTAAAAAGAAAACTCCCAGTGCATACCAAAGGCTATGTTCCACCCCACCACCCCACCACCCCACCCCCACACCACAT